TATGGACTATTCAGCACTTTACCCCAGTGAAAATTCGACTGCTTTTAGCCAAAACATTTCTGTTACCAACCCTATTGTATGGATGTGAACTGTATGCCAATTGTGATAATCTGTGTCGTGGTAAACTTATGCCGCTATTATGATTCACAACTCAACTCAGTTGAGTTGTCAATGTTACAACTCAACTCAACTATTTTTTTGTATTATGATTCACAACCAATTGTAGTTGTCTTCGTTAAGTTATTGCCAACCTGAAAATTGTTAATTTTGACAACTCAAATCAGCTGGCGAGTATACAAAAAATTGTGTGAAAATTTAAATATATTTATTTACTATGGACGTCTCCGTGGAAATGTATTTTTCGGAAGATGAAGAGGAAGAAAATGTACAACTTAACACCAGACTAATCCATTGGTGCTACCAACGGCCAAGTACGTTATTGTATTAATGATACTGCAGAAAGTTTTTCATAGTTCTTTTTTCAGATTCATTAGTTACTTTAGGCTGAACAAAGAAGCGTTTATATATTTACTTAATGAGACGAAGGACTTCTTTAAGCAATCAAAGCGGACCTCTGCTATATCACCGATCATAAAATTATGCGCCGCTTTACGATTTGTTGCAGATGGCAGTTACCAAAAGAGTAGCGGCAACGATTTTAATGTTGGTTTAGCTCAACCTACATTTTCTGTGGTTCTTGAGGAAGTTCTAAACATCCTAGAACAACGTGTCTGTACACGGTGGATCAAGGCGGCGATGACCACTGATGAAGTACAGGATTCCAAACTGACTGTTTACGCTCAAAGTGGATTTCCAGGAGTCATAGGCTTCGTTGTCGGTACGCATGTTCGAATCTGTGCACCACGAAAGGAAGTACAGCATCTATATCTTAACAGAAAAGGCTATTACAGCCTCAATGTGATGATTATGAGTCTTGATTTTCTTTATCTAAATATTATTCATGCACTCACATTTTTTTAGTTTTCAGACTATAAACAGAATATCAGGTTCGTTGACGCCAGATACCCAGGTTCTAATCATGATTCCCATATATGGAATGTGAGCACACTAAAACAACACCTCGATCAGAATTTGCCAACAAACACATGGATTTTGGGTAAGTGATCCTTACTTTCATTATATAAGATGTTCCTATGTACAGAAGTATGTACAATATATAAAATTATTTCTAGGTGATGCAGGATATCCACTAGGAAGAAATATAATGACCCCATTTCGCAATACAGTTGATGGCTCACCACAAAGGAACTACAACAAAATTCATGCTAAAGCAAGGAACTCCGTTGAGAGAACTATTGGCGTGCTTAAAAGCAAGTTCAGGTGTTTGCTTTCTGCTCGGGGTTTGCACTACGCGCCGGAAAAAGCTATGCAAATTGTTAATGATTGCTGTGCTTTACACAATATTTCTCAGCATTTCAAAGTTCAATTTCCCGATACCATTTTGAGTACAGATAACCAACAAGAACCCACACCTGAGGAAAATAATTCCGCATCGAATGGCGAAGCAGAAACAATAAGGAACAACATAATGCGTTCGTTGCAATAAATTTCGCATGTATTTCATTTTAAATTAATAAATTAATTCATTTCCTAAAAAGTAACAAAAAATTCATTTTTCAAGTAAAGAGGTACTTATGTAACTAATAAAATCAGCGTGGTTTCTTAAGTGATAAAAAAGGTTATTTACATTGGAAAAAAATAATTAAATTCATTAAAAACATAATAATTCATTCTATAAAAAGTTCCATTTCTTAATATATGCTAGATATCACCCATATTCAATTCTTCTGTCTTTTCAGTTTTTCCTTATCAATTTCTATCTTTAGCTTCCTAAGGACACTTGCTTCTTTTTCACGTTCCTTCAACAACTTCACTTCTTCTTTCTTTAGCTGGTACACTTTATGCTGCGTGCTTTCTATTTTATTGAGGGTTCGCAGAATTTGAGTTTGTGTTCCTGCCTGCCATTCGAGTAATTGAATTTTGGCTTCGCTTGCCTTCAGTCGTTTGGGTCTCGTGGGCACGACATTTTCATTAACTACCGGCGAATCAGTAGCTGGAGGAGTTATATTTTCTTCTGCGGTCAAATCAACAGCTAACCCGAACGCGCTTCCAGGGGGATTAATTGATAAGTTAACTTGAGTAAGCTCACACACCCTTTCTTCACTAGCAGTCAAACTGACTTCTTGGGATGGGCCACCGCCGGTCGCCAGGAAGTTTTCTTTATTTTTCGAAAACTTTCGTTTTAGGTTGGCTTTATAATGAATCCATACCTAAATAGAAAAATCAGAATAAGGTGTTGTTTTTTGTTTTGGTTAAAAGTAACTTACCCGTTGCCATTCTGGCCCTGTTCTTGATGGCGGTCCAAGGCTATTCAGCTCGACTGCAAACTGCACCCAAGTATCTTTTGTTTCTTGGCGACTAGATCCGTATTAGCCTTTCCCTCTTCCAATGTCGTGATGTTTTTCGACTAAATCGACAAGGCGGTCAATTTGTAGCTTGTTTGATATTTTCCTGAAATAATTGTTTAATCATGCATTTTCTGCATATTTTACGTATTTTATTACAAACACTTACAATGTTTTTTCCATTTTACCGCTTGCTAACAAGAACACAACTGATAAAAAGTAGTTGTCGCACTTTGACAGCTCATACAACTTTAGCTTGGTTGTGAACCATAATACTGGTAACAACTTAACGAAGACAAGNCAGAGAAAATTCGACTGCTTTTAGCTAAAACATTTCTGTTACCAACCTTATTGTATGGATGTGAACTGTATGCCAATTGTGATAGTCTGTGTCGTGGCAAACTTAATATCCTCTACAACAACATCGCCAGATACGTGTATTGTGTAAAACGTCGTGATCACATATCTGTTTTAGCCTTAAAAATATTTTCTATAAAGTTCGATGATTTATTAAAAGTAAAATGCCTAATGCTGCTTCACAAGGTAATTAACTCTCATGAGCACAAATACCTTGTTGAACGAATTCAATTCACTAGATCGGCCCGATCACTTAACCTGCTTAGTATGAAATACAGTTGCCTTGTATCTGAACGTCAGTTCTTTGTTTTTGCTGTTC